TACCTGGACTTCTGGTCAGTTAAGGGTGAGCAATCCGTTTCCGATCTGATATAGCCTGAAACCCTCCTAGTAATTTTCTACCTTGTAGTAAATGATGTGATCTTTCCATGAAATAACCTTTATACTGTGCTGCTGCAGTTGACTGATACAATCCCCCTACTGCGATAGACCATTAGCAAGTTGGTGGGGTAGGAACAAGCAGCTTTTCCTAGACTTTATTTTGCAGATCCTTATTTCCTTTGATGTAAAGATGAAAGGCTTCAAGTACCCTAACCCCGTTCCTGCAGGATCTTGGAGATTGAAGCGGATCTTGAGTAAAGCAGAAATATTGGATTTTCTTCTACTACTTCATCTTTACTGCAAGCCTCTTGTTTATTTCTCATCTACTCCAGTGCCTTCTTATCTACTAGTACTTCAATTTTGCTAAAAATTGCAGATAAGTTCTTCCAACTTCTTGCCAGTGTTAAGTGTGCTAAATTGAAGAAAATGTAAAATACACTAGCAATTTGTAATTGTTTTGGTGTTGCGAATATTTGCTTTTATGGGAGGGATGGGAACAAAATGGTCTTAGTTTTATTTTGCAGATTGGATCAGTAAGTGCTTGTAAAGGGCTATGTGAAGAATGTGGCATTGCCTGGAAGGTGGAGCTTGCCAGACAAGTGGGCTGAGATCAGCAACATCAGAAGTTAAACATTCCCATGTAATGAGATCGCTTGGGCAAGGAAGTAGACAAATACTTAGGTGGAATACGCAGGTGGAAAATTTGCAAATATTGTGGAAATTTAAACTAATCTATAATAATGCTGAAGGCCGCATCTTGACATTTATTAAATTTAGTTTGATTGCTTAATGATACTTGACTTAATTGCCAATATTAAAAAAACAACTGCTTGCTGGATTGGGGGGTGTGGGGGGGGTTGCTATTAAGACTTTTACAGGCATCCAGACCTCGATTGCCTAATGGAGTAAAAATGCTCATTGGACCAAAAGTGAAGTGGGATTGAGCAGTAATCAGTGTGGAGCAGAGCATCTGAAGTCTTCAGTGTCAAGGTCTCTGTATAATAGGAACAAGTTCTTCTGAGAATGATGACTCGATCATGTTGCTGTACTGAAGATAAGTCATGAGTAACATTCAATAACTGGAATTCAGTTGCATTTTGTTCATCTAGGCATACTTTAATACAAGTACAATATACATATATATGTGTGAGTGTTCAGGAATGCCATACTTTAATACAAATACAGAATATTTCCAGTGAGTGTTCAGGAATACCAAGAACTTGTTTATTATTTTCATGTTTTCTGTGACAGTCACATTGCAATTACATGGCTAAATTTCAGCTGTTGTCACAATCTAAGTAGATTGTGACATCCTGTGAGAAAGTAAAACGTTTAACATACTGTTTTATTACAATTACATTCTGCATAAATAACTAGCAACATTACTGCTGTAGCAACATTTTCTGGGGTTAACTCTGGGGAGGGGGAAGCTGTCCCAGGTTTTATTTTCCAGGTTTCTCCCCATCCCCGTTGTCATGATACATACGGCAAGTCTGTCCTTTGTATTGGTGGCTGAAATGGCAAGTAACTAAAGCGAATAAAGCAGTGAAGTGTTAACGTTGACAGTGGTGCGGAAGGATGCTAATAAAGGCGGAAAAATGCGAAAGGTTGTCTTGTTTTCTGTACTTGAGGTAACGTTTCTGCATGAAATTGTTTAGGATTTGGAGCTTTTTCCTCCAGCAACATTTTCATGTGCTTGTGGCAGTGCTCTGAGTAATAGTGGCATGCTTTATCTGGCGAAGAGGGCAGGGGAAAGCTTGTCAGTTTGTAGTTTAGTTTCCCATGGGAAACTTAACTGTCTGAAGTAACCATTCTGTCACTGGAAAGGCAGAATTCATTCAGATTGTTGAATTTCTATTCATGAATTAGAGACTAGTCTGTGATTCCTGTGCTGATAGATTTGACGGCCGTGTTAGAAACAAACCATCACTTCATCGTTACTTTCTTAACCCACTGAGATAGCTGTTGGGCAGCTACAATGAAAACTGTTTTGAAGAGATTTAATTGTGCAAGCCCCACCTTTAGGCTGCTTAGATGACTTGTATACCTTCCAGAATGATTGAGTTTACCAATGGTAAACTTTACATCCTTGGAAATGATTAAAAGACCCAACAAATTAGAAGTGTTAACATTTTTTTTCTTTTTTAAAAAAAATAACACTACTGGCTTGTGTGCAAAAGTATCAACATGATTTATATTGTGATGTAACATCCGTAACCTTATCTGGGAATTGGGAGGGAAAATATTTTATTTAAGACTTTTTCAGGTATTCAAGACTTAGTAGCTGTGATGTAATGTGGAATGTGAAGCTGACGAGTGATTCCCACCAATCGGGCCATAATGGTGTTGAGTCCCATGTTCGACCCTTCTCTAGTTGGATGGATTCAGAGGAACGTCTCCTAATAAGTTGCAGAACGCTGTTTGTTGCCAGTAAAGGTAGTGTGTGATATAGCGACAGAACAGCTGGATGTCTGATGTGGAATATTTCAACACTGGGGCATACTTTTCTCTCCTCTCCTGCCTCCCATTCTAAAATGTCTTTCAGGTTCATCTAATAGAAATGAATTCGTAGAACGGATGGAGGTGACCTGTTGCAAACTTTTACTCTGCTTTGATAATAAGCCCAGTATTGTATAATTAATATGTTTGCTCACAGTCTTATAGAACATGTACAACTAATTGTAAATGATCAGTTAACTTGCAGCATTGCAATTTTAATGGGATGTTTGGGATGGGAGCAGCACATATTACTTTCTTTGCAGACATGAATACAAACTACCGCATGAAGTGGACACTAAGCGATTACCAGAGGATTAGCTTGTCAAATAAACAGGATCACACAAAGTCTATTCAGCATCTGGTTCAGGACTTAAAGGCGTAAGAGTAACTCGTTTAACATTGTAACTTTAAACGCAATTCAAAATGCCCTCATTTTATCTTAATTTTGACCCAAATGTAATACATCAGCTGTATCAAACTTCAGTGGAATTAATGAAAGTCTTAAAATGGGAGCATGAAGAATGCAGAAATACTGTTGTCAGTGATGTTATTCTTAGACATGTTACTTAATTCTATTGTAAAATGTGAGGGCATCACTATTTTGAATAGGGTCAAATGTAACCATTAGATGTAGGGATTTTAGATCCCAGTATTCTCTCTCTTATGTGGCTGTATAAAGGGCAGGGAACAGTGTTCTTAGTTTTTCAGGTGTCAAGTCTTCCTCGCTGGCAAATAACCACATGATGCTTCGTCCCTATCCATACTGAACACAGCTTAGAAGGTGCAGTTAACGCTTGAGGAGGTTTAGGGCAGGGGGAACTCCTATGTTCTTGCATCTTTCAGGTACCCCGTCCTTGCTGGCCAATAACTGGAATCTGCCTTCCCTACGCTGGACACCATGTAGTAGGTACAGCATTGGATTCACATTTTTCAGAGGGAGACACACACACACACAACACCACAGACACACCCACCCCACAGACACACACCTCACAGACACACACACACCCTCACAGACACACACACACTCACAGACACTCAGACACACACCCTCACAGACACACACACACTCACACACACACACCCTCACAGACACACACCCTCACAGACACACACCCTCACAGACACACACACACTCACAGACACACACACACACACTCACAGACACACACACACTCACAGACACACACGCGCCTGTGTTCCCAGCAGTCAGTCGCTTGTCAGGCGATTGGGGATCACTTTCCGGGGAACCTTTTGCAATGAACACTAACTGCCGTTCGCCTTCTTAGTTGCTCACTGCACCTGCAAACTAACTTTTTGAGACTAGTGTACAAGGACACCCAAATCCCTCTGAACACTAACACTAATTTCTCCCCCTCAGAAAATAACCTGTTTTTCTATTTTTGCTACCTATACCTTTGCACTTCCCCACATTAAATTCCATCTGCCACCTGCTCGCCCACTCCCCGAGCCTATCTATATCCCGTTGTAATCTTTTTGCATCATCCTCAGAGCTTACTCTCCCACCGAGTTTAATGTCACCCGTGAATATAGATACGTTACATTCAATGTCCTCGTCTAGATCATTAAGAATTGATCAAAATCAAAAAGAAATGACTTTTTTTCTGGCCATAATACCAGGAGAAACTATCCTTTTTTCGAATAGTGGTACGGGGGAAACTTTAATATCCACTGGAATATGCAGATCTTGGTTTTAATGTCTCATCAGAAGGACACACCTCCATCAATGCAACATCCCAGTAGTGCTGAGGTGTCAAAAGGCCTAAATTGTGAGTTTTTTTGGGGTCAGTCAAATATCCAAATCACCTCTCTGGATGGAGGCATCCTGTTTATCTAATGCCAGAGATTTATTCGGCGCAGGTTGGCTAAAGTCCAAGCTCAGGGACCCCAGTGTGCTGGAATCTGTTGACTCAAGAGATTGAATCTCGTAGTTTCAGATACCAGACAATCAAGCTCTTAGTGACCAGCTTAGTTTAATAATTTATTACAGAACTGCCAAGGTACAGCAAAGGCCAGAAAACAGCACAGTCTCCTCTCATCTTTCTAGGTGTGTTCTACACTGGATAAATTTGTATCTACAGTAATGTTTACTTAACCTTTCCTGAGACCTTGTCTCACATATAGCGTTTTCTCACTCCTACTCGTCCCCTAACAGACCAGTGAAAGCCTGTTAGAGATGCAATAGAATATGGCCTCCCCTACTTGTGCACGCTCCACCTTACTAAGACAGTCCGGAACCTTAAGAGTCTTGTTTGACCCTCATCTATTCTTTCTACACCACGTCCCATGACCCGCTCTACCTTCCCCCGGCTCCGCCACCGTCTCACACCGCAGGCCCACCGAGACCCTCATACACGCATTCATAATATCCAGGCTTGACTACGCAATCTCCCTGATTGTCGGCCTCCCAAACTCCTTCCTCTACAGGTTGCAGATCATCCAGAACTTTGCAGCCAGCGACCTTCTGACACCCTACCAAGCTGCCCGCTCCTTGCGCTCAGTGGGCTCCAGCCTGCTTCACCATTGGCAGGGCAGACCTTCTGTCACTCTACCCCCACCCTCTGGAACTCCATTCCAGTCCCTCTGCCTCACCTGAGCAATAACAAAGCATTGAGATACCACAGGGATTTGAACCCCGTCCTGGAAACCAGGAGTGCCAACCACCAGCATCTTTTGCTTTTTTTTTTATATACACAATTATATAAAGGCAAAAGCAAAACCTGAGATAACAGCAACTGTTCTCCCAGTAAAAGAAAAGCCAACTTTATCATCTAAACAAAGCATGTACAGTCTTCCAGAAAAAAAAATCAACCAATCAGATGCTCACTGTATTCTTCAGCAACAGAAAACCTTCAAAACCTCAAGATTCCAACAAAACACCTCACCCGAAGCAATTTATGAGCAAAAAGCAGTTGGGCCAGAAACACATTTCATTCACTCACATAGACACATTTAGTCATATACACCACTCAATGAGACTGCATCTGAACAAAACCCTCTGTAGTTCAGAGAAAGACCTCAAGACGTTAATGAAAGCAGTGTTATTAGCTCCCCGACAATATATAACTGTACTTCTGAAAGATGCATTTCCTTAACTAAGATTGTTGGCCTTGCTCACTGACTAATACTGATACACAAGCTAGTTTACTTTACTTTGGCTAACAACAATCTTACAGAAAGCTTACAAATGTGCAGTGTAAATGGTCCTGAACGCAGCGTCTATCACTGGTGTCATCAGGGATCGAGGGACCTAAAACACTACAACCACTCCCCCCACCTTATCATTCTTTAACGATTAGTAAATGCTAGTTATTTTAGCACCTGTTCAAAATGTCCGGCGTAGGTAAGGGAAGTGGGTCACTTTCACAGCGAGGACTGGATACCTGAAAGATTAAGAAGTTCCCTCCCCTGCCTAAACCCCTTGAAAAATTTGTAGCACCTGCTAAGTGGTGTCCAGCGTAGGGAAGGCGAAGCCCAGCTACTGTTCAGCGAGGATCTGAAAGATTAAGAAGAGTTCCCCTGCCCTAAACCCCTTTAAAATGTTGGAAGATAATGCTGCACCTGCTAAGTTGTGTCCAGCGTAGGGAAGGCATTTTCTAGTTACACATCATCGAGGACTGGATACCTGAAAGATTAAGAACACCAGAGTTCCCTTGCCCTAAACCCCTTTGAGAAATATGTACTAGAATCCAAAGCTGTACCTACTAAGTTGGGTCCAGTGCAGGAAAGGCAATCCTAGTTACTGATCAGCGAGGACCTGAAAGATTAAGAACACCAGAGTTCCCTTGCCCTAAACCCCTTTGAGAAATATGTACTAGAATCCAAAGCTTTACCTACTAAGTTGGGTCCAGTGCAGGAAAGGCAATCCTAGTTACTGATCAGCGAGGATCTGAAAGATTAAGAACACCAGAGTTCCCCTGCCCTAAACCCCTGTAAATTGTTGTATTATAATCTAACGCTGCACCTGTTAAGTTGTGTCCAACGTAGGGAGGGTATATTCTAGTTACATATCAGCAAGGACTTGAAAGATTAAGAACAGGGTTCCCTCCCCTAAAC